AGCAATGTGTCGGAGACAATACTATGTTGGACAAAGGGTGGTTGCCACATTGGACCCAAGACTCTATTACTGCTTTGATCCCAACTCCGTGATCTGAAATGACACAGATTTTTCCCTCGTGATAACATGTGCACGTAAATTTCGGAGGAAAAAAGCCCAAGAATCTATATTCTCCTTCGAAAAGAGCAAAACAACTGGAAGAATGTTGTGATTGCCATCTTGGACAACTGCCAATAATAAAACTTGCTTGTATTTTCCATACAAGAAAGTCTCGTCGATTGGACCACAGGCTTGCAGTATTTGGCATTAACGCACTGTGGGTAACTCCAAAAAACCCGGTAGAATTGGCATCGATCGTGAAGAACTCGATCATTATGGTATGCATAAGAGGTTTCGAAGTACACAATTATCCCAGGATTCAACGTCCGCACCAGCCTAAACCAACCTGGAAGTTCATTGTAAGATGCATCTCATTCGCTATGAAGTTTGACAATGGCATTTTGTTTTGCCAACCAAGCTTTTTATAGGAGACGATGTACCCATACTGCGATTGTATAGCTGAAATCAACACTGCAACAACTATATGAGAGCTTGCTTTTACCATGGGCATGATTGCTTGGCATATCACTTCAGAGTCCAAGTTGGGATGATCTTGGTTGACACCTCCAGCACAACATGTTTGAGGACCGTTGTATATTGTTAGTTCCCATATGTTGTTTTTTCTCTTCATTTTCGATACGCGAACCATCCAATTGCATCCGTTTTCGCATCGGGCATAGTAGCATATATATTTTTCGGTCGTCGATCGGTTGACTCTGGACTGAACAGAATTACGGATATTTTATTTTTGATAGCCATCATCGCTTCTTTTTTGCTTGAAAACTCCATGCCTAAAGATAACTCACCATTATTTATTGATGAGTAATATCCATCACCGAGATGAGGTATATCCGCAAATTCTAGCCCGTACATTGCACCATAATCAGCTTCATACATGTGGCAAGAGGTCAGTTGTGCCACATTTCCTGGAACTTCATCATCATCGGAGTTGAATAGCGGTGATTCTGGGTGAATGAATAGTCCAGTCTCAGCACCATCCGCACTAGGCTTACGAAGTGGTTCTTCTGGTGGAGATTATGGTTCCTCTATGCTCTCCACATTTAGGTCGAAGAACCTACTACTTGCACGTCTTCCCCTTTAAACTGGAAGGCATATCGACATTGAGATCGAAAAAGCTTGCAGTCAAATGCCTCCCCATGGAGCTTGAAGCCATCGTTTAAATGGAAACTGTACAGATGGTTGCATCGGGCATCTCCATATGGTCAAAGAAATTTGCAGATGAATGCCTTCCCCTTGAACTGGATGCGGTGTTGCCATACGGATTGTTCGTGGACCCACCTCGGTACATATCGTAAGGAGTTGCGGATGAATGTCTCCCCATTATGGTATTAAAATCATTACACATTACTGTAGTCGGGCTGTCAACTTGATCAACTTGTTCAACCATCCCATAGTGTGAGCTTAAAGATTGACCCCGAACAACACGCACTTTAAAAAAATATGCATACATCTCAATTACGGCGTCTGAATAATTACTTTGAGCTTCAACCATCATTGAACATCATTGTTCGAAAGTTCGAACGCCGTATAAGTTAATGACAACAATGATGTTGGAAATCTGTATTGCACGATGACATTCTTTGTTACTTCCAACATGAATCTTCCTCGAAATCTTCGTTATCAGCTCAAGAGTTATGTTTCTCTTAAATGATATTTTAACACGCTCATTTGATACGAAATAACGCCGGTTTCATCTTCTCGAATTTCACCATCATAATAAACAATAGCTAAAAGTCGCGCCATTCTTTGAGTTTAAAAGTGCGGCAATATATATCTGCAAAAAATAGCTTAAACAAACCTGATTAAATAAATTATATATGAACGAGAATATAACACAATTTTTTTTACACATCAACGTAAATAATTTAAATAATAATTTTTATTCTTACCTGCACCGCAAAACTATTTCGACGTATGCTCCGCTTTTCAATTTTACAAACAAAAATTAATTAAAAATAATTAGTATATATTTTGTCAAATAATGATAATAAACAATAAGTATAATTAAAAAATTATAACAAAATTACCTTATAACGAAAAATCGCACGAACTTCTAAATCAAATATAAGAAGATTGTCAGAATTATTACTCGTTGATGAAATTGTTGTATTAATTTATTAGAGAGGAGAGATGCGAGGAGATGTGGAGAGATGCGAGAACGGAGGTATTTATAAACATATAAGGCGCGATACCTGCACCGCGTTATACGTAATTATTATATAATGCAAATCAGAGACCGCGTTAAATGTAATTTTGGTACGGCGTATAGCGCGGCCCCTGATCCGCGCTATATACCCTACGTGGCGTATAGCGCGGAGCAGGGCGCGCGCTATACCCCACGTGTAACCCAGTCAGCGTATAGTGCGGTACATGGGGCACACTATACACGTAGCGCCAAATCAGCATAGCGCGGTTCAGGGGCGCTTTACTGCTACGAGTATTGATCGGGAAATATATCTTATCGTGTTATCGATATATATACCGATCACCAGTGATTTTTGAGAAAATCGTCGTCGACCATATTGATATTGTTTTTTCTCTTTTGAAATTTAATTAGTTGATCGTATTATTATTTTATAACCATTCGAGATGGAAGATTGTTTTCAAAAAACCAAGTGTACAAGACAAATAATATTATTATAAATCAATTTAAAAGTTAACTCTAACTTTGATTATTGACAAAAGTACTAACAAATATTCGATTAATCAAGAAATAATGCTATTAATTCTTTTTGGACAACAAGAATGATCACTTACCTTTCGTATTTGTAAATTTTTACTCACTAGATTAAAAAAAATAAGTTTTGGTCATTTATGTTATTGTTTTAAGTTTTGATCATTGGAACGTTGAATGCCGTTAGTTTAATGACATAACGTAAGTAAAAGTGTTTATCTTTTATTTTAACTCCTACACCTTAGACAAATACTAATTATGGCCCATTTGAAAAATCTAAAATAGTTTAGGGATAAAATTTTAATTTATCCCTTTAATATGCTTTTCTTTCTACCCCACTTGCGTCGTACACTGTTCATCTCTCCGGTGCCTTTATCAACGTTTCCTCTTCTTGTTCTTGGGGAGCTTGTCTGGTTTCTTCTTCTGCTTCTTTTTTCTTTTCACATTCTTTCTTCTTCTTCTTCTTCTAGTTCTAATGGAAATGTTTAGCGATTTTGCAGATTTGATTTATATACCAAGGCTACAGATTCTCTTCCAGGTCTTTATTGTGAGAACTGTCATGTTTTTTTTGCTAACATGGTGTAAGTTTGTTTCCTTTCTGGTAATGGAACTCTTTGCTTCCATTTGTGTCATTTGGTGATTGGTTTTAGAAATTCTCTGCGTGTATGTGTTTTATTTGGCTCTGTCATTCATCCGGAGGGTAATATTTCACACACATCGCCTTTGTAATATAACTTATGTTCCGGTGGATGATATAATCTACAACACCCAGACACTCACCGCTAGATGCAAGGAAATTAGCAATCGAAACAATCCAATGTGTTCAACCGGTGACGGAGAAGATGAACAATGCGACGGAAGTGGAATCGAAAGAAAAGTATATTAAGAAAAGGGATAAATTGAAATTTTATCCTTAAACTATTTTAGATTTTACAAAAGGGACCATAATTAGTATTTGTTTAAAGGGTAGGGGTTAAATATAAAATAAAAACTTTTATTAATGCGCCACGTCGTTAAACTAACGGAATTCAACGTCTCAATGATCAAAACTTAATAAAATGATAACATACGTGACCAAAATTTATATTTCTAAAATTTGGTGAGCAAAAGTTTACAAATATAGAACGTAAGTGACCTTTCTTGTGGTTTACCTTATAATTTTAATAATAAAGTAATCCAAGATACGATGAACTATTATTATAATATTGCAATTACGTGCCTCCATAATTTGTGGTTTATGAGAGTAATTCCCGCGGATGTTTTGCGAATGCCGATGTTAATTGTCAGGAAGAATCGTGTATTAATAAGATATTAGATACGCGACAAATATCTTCTTTGGATTATGCATTTGCACACTTAATCATTTTATATTTTAACCTTCATATTGCATTGCTAATATATTATAAAAAGGTTTAACGTTAAAATTTATATGATCAGTTTGTCGATTAAAATTAATTAAAAAATAGTAATTATCAATTAATCTATTGGGGCGAAATTGTATGATCCTTAAATAATATCGGTATTTGATAATATTGAAATATTCTACTTATGGCAATCTAATAAAACAAACCGAACCCATTAAGCAATCTCAATTGTTAAAAAGAGTGATATTTCCTTTAGATGTTTCGAATTTAAAGAACTATAGAACCCTTTGCTTTTCTGTTGGACAGTGTTTGTGAGAATGCCCAAAATGAAGCCCACCAGAAAGCTAGCTTCTTTAACAATAGAACCCTTAAAAGGAAGGAGAAAAATATAAAGTAATCATGGGTCCAACTGGGTGAGGGAAGTCCCGTTTAGCCACCGACTTCGCCACATCATCTTTTGGGCACTGTTAGCTCGGATGTAGAATTCACTGTCAGTTCAGCGTCGTTTTTGTTATGCCTGCTTTACATGTTAAGCTTTTGCAAGGTTTTAGTTGTATACACGCGGCAGAAAATCCTCGAAGATGATAAAACTACTTTTTTGACTTTGTTATTCCACATTAGTCGATAAGCTACGCTACTAATAGGTTAATTAGGCATAATCAAGATGGTCCCATCCCATAATCCTGTCTGCCATCATCATTCCACAATGGCAAGAAAAGGCTCAAAACACTCCACAATTTTCATCAACATACTCTTAACTCTGCATGTATTTGGCACCAAAGGACATCAACTTGATGGTCTACAAATATACATGAAGTGACCAACCAAGATCCAATTCGAGTATCAGTGAAGTGGAGAAACAAGGAGAAAGCTGCAAAAGGATATTTAAAGAAGAAAAGCAGTATCCCACTGAAAAAGATACATGGAGTTCCATGTGAAAATATAAAAATAACAGGTGAAAGTTGAGGCCCAGAACGTGACATTCTCTTAACAGATTCTCTGTTTTCATATGTTCTTATCTCCCCTTATCACCATCCTTGCAATTTCATTCATATCATCTGAAAGAGTCAAACAAGCAAAGGAACAATGGAAAAGATCCTGCAGATATTCAACAACCACAAGTTTCAATATTTTCTCCTTTCCCAGATGCTCCTTTACACCACCTCTACAGCCTTACACACTCCCATCCAATGTGGTAATATCAGCTTCAAAGGCCTCTCTTGTCTCCAAATTCTACAAACCCCTTCCCATTAAACCGCATGATCCTATGCAAATCTCAGAAGCTATACTTTAGAACCTCTGTGGGTCAATTTCCCATCTCTTCTATTGATTACACAAGTAAAACACTAACAGTGTTTCACAGTAGTTGTTCTTCTTCAGAGCAGTTTGTATCCCCAACACTCCTTTCAGCTGGTTTCCCTTCTCCTCCTCACCCCAACTCACTTCTTCTCTTCAACTGCTCACACAAAGGGAATCCCGCGGCAGCGTTTATTCGCAACTGCAGTCGTCTGCACATGTGTAGAGCCGCTTCTGAAGTTCCTCATTCATGTCTAGTAGTTGAAGATACTGAAAATCTTGACCCTATTTTCATCCAAAAGATTTGGGTTGCTCAAGTTACAAGAGGGTTTATAGAAGGTCTTTAATTGAGGAAGACTATGAAGGAGTTGGTTTGGGGACAAGGATTTCATTCGACATTCCCGACCATGTACCGAACATATGCAATGAATGTAAAAAGCCTAATGGCAACTGTGGTGTTGGGTTGAAGTGCATTTGTAATGCAAAAGAGTGTAGTAAGTACCCCCTATAGTTTATCTTTGATCTATATTGCATATTTTTTTTCTGATTTTACGATATTTTGATTGATTTTTATTTATTTTTTTGCAGAAGATAAGGTCCTTTCAGGTGCTGGATCACTGGACAGTGGTATAAGTTTCTTGTTTCTTTTATTTTCGATCATTGTTCATCAGATGAATTTATGGATGATTTGAGCAATTGTAGAACTTGAAATGTATGTTATTTACCTTCCTCATGGTTGTTAAATAGGTATATTATATACTTATTTTTCCACATAATTGCTTTGTCATCTCTCTGTGCACATAAACATACAGAAATGCACCTAGTTTGGGATTCCAATACGAAATCATTCCTGATGAAAGCAGACCTTACAACTTTATATTTACATGGTTACTGCAGTGACAAACACATGATTCCCCAATTTGCCGAAATAGATGAACATTTAATCTAAACCGAATACTACATAGATTCATTCATTATGAACGGCAAGCGACCCCTTCATGGTGTCACTTTGATAGGTGATATGATAAAAGGCATTCAAAATAACGTTGAAATGGGAATAATAAAGATGATGGTTAGAAAACAGAGGTGTTAACTGCAGACGTATACGTTATTAAATGAATCTTGACAGGCTATGCACATCGCTTTCCAACTAACAAAATATAAAAGAAGTATTTCCAGTCCGCAGCTGTAAAATTCACATGAAGAATCTGAAATAGCCACAAGGCAGAAGCAGGAATGCCAAGGCAAGCTCGGTCACTTTGTACTTTAAAACCCAAAACACCTTGGTTTAATCTTTTAAATTCACATGAAGAAAATAAAGCATAGACAAAGTGGAAAAAAGAAAGCGTGGTGTTGTGAAAATCGTAGAACGACACCTTTTCAGTTAAAGCAGCGAGATGGGAAAGAAGAATGGCAGATGGATTTTAAAGGTTTCAAGGCAAAAGTGCATAGAGGAACATGAGGACTTCACTCACGATGTTGCAATGCTTTAACACAACTACGTTTTCTTGGACTCCTGGATCTCGGGCTTCTGTGAATTCTAATGTTAAAATTATTATTGATTTAGTGTCTCTTAATCTTAAGCCAAGACCCATGAATTTGCCATGACCAAAGAGATAAAGCTACTGAATTTTAACCATCAACTCATGCCAAACTCTTCAATTTGCATCAATACATGAATAAATTCAAACCCAATTTTAAATTTTCAAAATTAAATTATTAGAAGAGTAACCACGAACTTTACATATGATATAAGTAGAGATGGTGAGCATCCTTTTTGCCATTTTTGAGTGTAATTGGGTGTTTGAAAACCTCCCCTCCCCTCCCACACTCTTTATGTACATAAAGCAAGTTTGTCTTTGGGACATTGATTCATGGTGTTGGCCACCACAATTTTAGTTTGTCGGCTTTTGAGATTGAATGTCCATAAAACAGTTAAGTTACCAAGTTTCGGTTTATCTGTCTAATTTCTGTGTTTATGAAAAAACATTCTTGTCAGCCCCATGCTTATATTTTTAAATTCTAACTCTCTGTTTTAGAGGGTCCAGTTACAGTTCAAATTCACGAGGATTTCTTAGTTGACTTCATTTAAATTAATGTTTCTCTTTATCAAGGAAATATGTATGCCTTCGCAATCCTAATTGGTCTCCTCTCCTGATGATCCAATGAAGAAGAGTCTGACTATGCCTGCATTTTTAGTGGCATCTCACTGAACCCCAAGTGCCCTTGCTAAACTTTTGTTTCTTGCTAAAGATTAGACAGACGCATGATTTTATTTTAAGAAATACAAACTTATTAAATTTCAAAAATATGAAAATATATATTAATAAAAAATATAAAAAATTAAAATTTTAGGATGTGACCACACCGCAGCACCCATTGGTCCATCCTTGGCCCTAATACAGGAGCTGCTATCCTTTTATAAAAGGTGTAAAGCATATAAGTGGTTCAAACAACCCATGCGCATGCTCTCGCTTGTTTTCATAGCGTAATGCATAGTAGAACCAAAGCAAGGTAGAATTGTGATCACTATGTATCTTATTATAAAGGTGACAAATGCATACTGTATGCCTGATAAACCAGAAATCTTAAATAATTTAAATGGAAAATATAGTCAAATTGTTACTGAACACTAGCAGGAGATTCCCCACCTTATTTTGTCCTTTTAAAGGCAAAAGCTACCAATCTTCCTTGATATCTTTCAATATATCCAATTACTTTTTATCAAAATCTTCATTGATACCCTTCAATTTGAGATGTCTTCTCATTTACAAATTACCACCTTTTCAATTATTTCAACCTCGTCATTATTAGCATTAATTCATTTCCCGTAATGAATTTCCAAATCTTTTCTTACCAGAGAAACAGAAGAAAATCCAGAAACCTATGGCTCACGTTCTGCAACTCTCAGAAACTAAAATATTCGGCAGCGCAAGTTAATTCTTCTCTCACGTGATCAAAGAATTTAAGTAAAAATTTGGACAAAAAAAAACTGAAATAGAACAAGAAACCTAACATGAACAAGCGATGAGTTTGTTTTATGTGTTCTTACGGGCACAAATCAACAACGAGAACTCGACTCTATCTTGGTCTTTCTTCACCATCTTCTCCTCAAACCAAAGCCGGCTATCCAAACCATTTCTTGTCCTAAACAAGAACACGGCTGAACCGGTAACAGGCTTGAAGAACCAATCGTACGCATCCCACATCAGATCAACTAACAACCCATCAACGAATATCATCTGGTTTCCTCTAAAATTCCATTGCAGCCTCTTCACTTTTATCACCGTCTTCTTATCGATACAAACCGATAAAACCGGGTGCTTTAGGCCTTCATGTTCCCAACTGCATCTGATTATAATATCGTGTACAATTCCCGTATCACAGAATTGAGCCTTGGTGGAATAAACTGTATTGCCCGAACAATGTTCTTGCCTGGAAATGAGGGCAGCTTTAGCAACTGGGGTTGTGTTTTTGAGCTTCTTGGTGACTGCCTCTTCGTTCATATCGCCTAAAACAAGGCCTATCTCTGAATCAACCATGACTAAAACGTAGAACCCGTCGACCGGTTCGGGTCCGGTGTCGTACTTAGCGGTGGAAAGGTCCCAAAAGACTTCGATCTTATAATGATCAGATTCGATCACTTTGCTGCCTTTCTTCTTCCTGAAGAACCTTAAATTGGTGTTGAGTTTGAAACATGTTGAAGGGTAATCACCGAAGTTTATGGCTAGGCCTTGACCACCGGTTTGGTTCTTGCACCAAGTGACCTTGATTGAACACTGTTTCTGGGTTGAAAGAATGACTTTGTAAATGCCTGTGACCGCGTTCTGGACCGAAGGCACTAGGCTCGGGGAGATGCAACCATTGCTTGAATAGCTAGAACATGAAGAATGTGAAACATTTATTGCGTTTTCACTGAAACAAGAAACAATATCTCTCATTGTATATATTGAAAACTGCAAAACAAGTACAAAAAAGTTTCAGATTTCGAGAAGGAAGATCAAAAGGTTTTGAGATATGGGTGTTTCTCTTTTAGCTTGTCGGAAGGAAAACAAAATAGAATATGTTCGAGAACTGAACAACGTTTGTGCTTTGCCGTCTCTCACTGGTTTCAGTTTTTTTGAAGAAGATGAAGACAACAGCAGCAAGGAAATTCAGGTGCATATGCATGCGTATTAAACAAATATGGATCTCTCTCTCTCCCTCTCTCTCTCTCTCTCTCTCATATAGGTAAAAGAAGCTGAAGTTTTTTTTATTATTAATATAGTATGATTATAAAATAATATTTATTTGATATATTTTAATTATTTAACAATAAATGTTTTGGTTTGTCAAATATAAAAATTAATGAAAAAAAGAATGCTTAATATAAAAATAAGTGTTTAAATTATGCATCGAAAAAATGTTTTAGTATTTAAAGAAATTTTTGTTAAAGATAGGTGATTGTTTCTATGTTACTATTTTAGGTGTTCGGGCGTTAACCACCGTTCAAAATCTCCGTTAAGTGACACGTGTTACGTTATGGTAATTTGAGAATTTTTATTTAATAAAAAATATTTTTTTAATAAAAACCTAAAAAAATTTCAAATCTTAAAAAACTTTTAAAAACTTAATTTTGATCCCTTTACCACCACTAGCCGCCACCAACGTTGTCAATTAGTCGAACACTCGATGACGTGTGACCGGCCAACCATCCACGACAAAAATCCTCATACTTTTGTAATAGATTGAACACCAAATCTCCCTAAATATATAAATTCCTAAACAAAAATCATTCAAAACCCTAAAATAAAATCTTTCATTTTGCACGATTTTTTGGTGTTCGATCGGTTGTGAAAGTATGAGGGGCTTGGTCGTGGATGATTTGTCGGTCACACGTCGTTAGGTGATCGACCGATTAACGGCGTTGGTGGTGATCGACGGTGACAACGAGATTAAAATTAAAATTTTAAAAGTTTTGGAGTTTTTTTAAGAATTGAAATTTTCAAGGTTTTTAATATATTTTTTTATTTTAAATAAAAATCTTAAAATTATAAAAAACATGACATATGTCACTTAACAGAGATTTTTAACGGCGGTTAACATTCGAGTACCTGAAATGATAACGGAGAAAACGTTATACATCTATTTTTAATAAAAAATTCTTTAGACACTAAAATATTTTTTCAAAACATAATTTAGACATTTATTTTTGTATTATGCCAAAGAAGAAAGTTGGAGATGGTGTCAATACCAGCAGTCTGGTTGTGAGATGATAATGGATGCTTTTGTGATTTCTCATTAATTTCGAGACATAATGGATGCTTTTGTGACTTATTGAGTGATTACAAAATAAATAAATAAAATACTTTAATTGATTACTGTTTTTGAAGTGTAGAAAGATAAATATGGCACCTGGTAAGTCTTTAATAAAGTTTATGGGACAGTGAAAACAAATATGATGTGGAAAGATAGCATGCTGCTAACATGGAAAAGGAAATTGTGTAATTTCCTGGGAAAGCGGTATTTATTTGATTTAAATAGGTTAAAAGTTATTATAACAATTTAAATTTAAATTTTATAATATCAAATATTTGTATTTTTTATTGATTTTTTATTAGTTTATGTTATCTTATGTTATTATAAAAATTATTGATCTGATAATTATAAAATAAATTCTTAGTCTTCTGAATCTATAATTATTTGTCATTTTTATTTAAAAGTTACAAATTTAAATAATTTAAAATATATATTATTTAATTAATGATAATATATATATATATATATATATATATACATTTTAAAGACTAAAGACAATATGTAGATTAAACATTATTTTAACATTTTCTACCACTGTTAAATCAACAGTTAATAGTAAATTAATGAGAAATCACAAAAAAATATTAATATTTTTAATTTAAAATAATATTATAAAATTAAATTACTGAGATTAACAATAATTTTATAAAATTCTTGATGTATTTAAACACATTTATTTCAATATTGCGTATAAAATTATCTCTTCATTATTAGTGTACTACAGACTAATCCATCTTATATTTTTTTCCTATTTAAGTTTTAATGTATTTACTAATATTCATATTCAAACATGGAAATAAACATGAAAATTTTAAATAATATTGTAGGGGCAGAGTGGAATGATAGATCCAGAAAATTAATAGTAAAGTTTAGTCTCTAGACGAGATGACTATCCAGTTCAGTTGGTAGAACACAAGGTTCTTAATCTTGAGGTCGTGGGATCGAGTCCCACGGAGAGCATTTCATAATTCGGAGGTCTTCTACGGAAGTTGCTCTCAACTTGGTGTTGGAACATCCTACTATCTGACCTCCCCTTACCCCATTACATATGGGAACAAGGGACAGTCATTTTTTTAGCCTCTAGACCCACCCATTGTTGCCGCTTCCAACACACCTTATGATTAGAAAAAAGCTAGGCATGATGTTGGGGGGAATAACCACTTTCATCCTTTTTTTATTTTCTTTTTTATACATTTCCCCTCTCGTTATTATCATGCTTTAAATAGTATGAAATGAATATAAAGTACTATCTGTTTAAAAAAAATTAATCATATATTATATATATGTAATTATTCGAACTCAAATTCTATAAAAAGAATAATATTTCTTTCATACTAAAATTACTCAATGAGTCCCTATTACTATTAAATATATTGACTATATAGATTAAAATACGTAACTTATTACACCTTATTCTATGACTAATTTAATTAAAGCACGTGGTTACAGTTAAGAAGCAACATTGAAATCAATGCTTCAAGCACCCATCAAGTTAGGGTTTTGGCTTTTAGGTCAATAAATAAATGCCCTCCATTTTTTTTTATTAAACTGAGTAAAGTTTAAGCTTTGTTGACGTGTGACCAAAAGAAATAACACGGGACTTGAGTGCTTTAGAAAGGGAGGCGAGAGACAAAGGACTGTTAATTGGAACATGCATGTGCGTTTTATGTTATGATTAGGTTTTTAATCAAACATATTTATTTGATGTCATGAGAAGACAAAAGAGTTTATTCTTTTTCTTTTACAAAAATGTTTTAACTACCTGGCATTGAATAAGAAATACGAAATTGTCATGAAAATACTCAACAATTAAACAAATAATTTCTATATTGTTTTAGGTTTTTGAAGCTTTTAGAATTGATTAAGTGGGGGTTGCCATTCTTTGTGGGGGTATGGACCCCAAGAAAAGTACTGGCCTTGGGGCATGTTCCTTCATTTGCGCAATTAAATGAAAACTGAATCTGCACAAGAAACAGGAAAAGGTGTTTCACAGGCTTTAGCAGACGGATTCAAAGACGAAACTTATTTTTTTGATGGTGGGGCTTCAGATTTTACCCTAAAATTTCATAATATCCATTCTTTATGTAAATAATCAAACACTGTTTAATAATCTTTATTTAGGAAAGAATATCAATTTAAAGCTGGACTAATATATATAGAAATGATGGAGTTAAAGCTGTATTTTCAGTTTAAAACCCAAGCCTTTGAGTACCTAATTCACAAAGATAAGAACAAAGGGTAAAACTTTCGAGATAATGTTCTGGAAAAAATTAATTCATGAGATAAAGCACTCCAAAGATTAATTGCTCAAATAAGGTGAAATCCACAGTGTTGGCCGTAGGTCGCCATGCCTTCCGGGCGACCTACTAGGTCGCCATGTCTTCCCGGCGAGCTACAAGAGATTGCATGTGCCATGCACGTCCCAACACGCTGGGCATCCGAGGCCATCCGACTGAGGCCATCCGACCGAGGCCATCTGAGAGCATCCGAGGCCATCCGAGAGCATCCGAGGCCATCCGACCGAGGCCATCCGAACGAGCTATGCGAGGGAATCCGAGGGAAGCCGAGCGAGGGTAGGTCGCTCGGAGTGCATGGCGACCTACAAGGTCGCCCGGAAGGCATGGCGACCTTGTAGGTTGCCCGGAGGGCATGACGACCTATGTGTTGGGACGTGCATGTGCCATGCAATACGTTCATTCTCACGTTCATTCTCTCTGTTTGAGCAAGGGTAGGTCGTCCGGAGTGCATGGTGACCTACGATCAACACTGTGGATTTCACCCTATTTGAGCAATTAATCTTGGGAGTGCATTAGCTCGTGAATTAATTTATTTCAAAACATTATCATGAAAGTTTTGCCGGAACAAAGAATAAATGAAATCCAAGTAACGTAAACTTTTGGACATTCTTAACAACAATACCTAACGCACCAGGAAAGGGTACTTTAATTTATTGATTTAATCAACAACGGAATTAGTGTAAACCAAATTATGTCTGTTAATTTTAATCTCAAAATATTGGTAACTTTTTGTTGTTTTCTTGCCAATTAAGAACAAAACATATATGTATGAATCAAGCGACCGCGACTTCAATAGTTGAGGAATTTGTTATCATTTTTTGAGATTTTGAGTTAGAGCATCGCATATGTTAAAAATTTATTTTGATCAGTTACATTATTGGTTTGTTCGATTTTAATCATTAAATCGTTAACTTTTAACAGAAGCATTATATGACAATAAAAAAATTACACTGTTCGTGCCTCCTCCTCCTTTCACTGCCGCCAAATCCAACCAGAGTCAGAAGCCTTTTTTTAACCCATCACAAGGCTTAAAGCAGAGGCTTTTCGGCATAAAACCCTTAGGATTGGGTTATCTGTATCTTATAAAAGAGTTCCAAGCGTTGTAGCAAAACCAAATGGTTTATCCCCCAAAGGGAAGAGCTTTATTTGCGAGGCGAGCCTGTTGCTGCTGCAGTTGATGGGAATGCCTTTGTATGGTGAAACTCAGCCGCTAAAGTTGTTGGGTATTGAGCTTGTGAGTCTCAAGAAGATTATCCCACTGGGGTTAATGTTCTTTTGCATCCTTTTCAATTACACAATCCATAGGGATGTGCTAAAGGAAGCAGTGCAGAGATTATACCATTCTTAAAGACGTGAGTTAATTTGCCTACGGCTGTTATACACCAAGTTGGTTCATGTGTTGCCAAAGAAGGCTCTTTTCTACACTGTTATTGTTCCTTTTTTGGTGCATTTGGGTTTTTGTTGTATCCTTTCAGC